ACTGGATATTTATTTTTTCTTATTTTATGACGTTCCACTCTACTTTTGTGACACTTTCCCTAGATATATGGACCACCCGGTTGTTTTAAGCCAGCTGTCAAAATAATATTCAGTAAGAGGATTGTGCTCAGTTTTGCAGGAAGTAGCTGTGCAAATGGTTAAGCAGAGAACCTGGATATAGCAGACCCATGTCTTGTTGCTAAGAGTACCTTAGCAAGTGCAGTCAGTTCCGGTTTTACAAGTCTAACCCCTAAATGTGGATTATTTCTGTTCTTCTACCTGTGGTGTAATGATTTGTGAGGAAATGTTTTATGTGAGCTAAGTAGTAAAATTTACAGTGCTTTTCTGAGTTAAATTGGCATTTAAATAATTGCTGGAAACACTCATTCTCAGTCTTCTAGGGAAGACTGGCTCTATCTGAACTATTATGCTTTATGCTTTGTCTGTCAGATGCTGGTTAAAGAAGTCTTCATTCCCTTGCTAACTTGACTTTGCAACCAAAATGTGGAAAAGGCTCTTGGCTTTGTTTAGGACAGTTGTAAGTGCTTCACAAGCTGACATCTCCTATCTGTAAGAAATCTGCTGTTTAAAACTAGTTCAGGGGCGTCATACACAGCTGTCCCCTCTGTTCAGTCATAAAAAGCATCTATCAGTGTGAGTTTTTTATTTGAGTAACATTTCAGGTCAAGAAATTTGAGGTCCTGATAAGACTTTGAGGTGATAGGCTTGTAGCTGTTCTCCAGTTGACCTTGAACTCGATGAAGTTTTGCTGTGAGTTCGCTCTTACTCTCAAGGTCTTTTTACTCCAGCTAGGCGTTGCATTCCTCCCAAAGAACATGATTTTCTACTTCGCCTTGTTAGGGACTGAGTAATCATGAGACCTGTATGTTCCCAGTAGGAAAAATCAGTGTCAACCAGCTGATCTTTATCATCTGATGCAGAGATGGGTCTTGAATGCTGACTTGCTTAATTTCTGTATCCAGTGGCTGGTGTATCCAGTGAGAAAATCACTGGGAAGGGTAGCTGCTCCTCTGCTGCACTGAAAAGTCTGGATACAATAATAAAAGATCGTCCTGCCCCTCAGGAAGAATAGAAATGTTTTACAGCAATAAAAGAAATCTATCTCAAATCACTTCAGGCTGGGGTATCAAGATGTGGCTCTAAGTCTTAATACCAGGCTTATCTATTGTGAAGGGAAAACGAACTATGTCGTAATGGGATTTTAAGCTGAATGAGAATCCAACCCTCAGTGTGGCGCTTGGTCCAAATCAGGCCTTACATGTTTGTTTTAGTTTGCCTAAGTCATTGCACAACCAGGAAATGGGAGGAAAAGTTGTTTGCTTTCATATCAAGGGAAGTTTATTCATGGAAGATGCAAGTAAAATGTACCACTGTTTAAGGCATCCAGATGGTGAGAACTCCACTGTTTGGAAACCTGCAGCTTTTGCCTCAAATATTTTAGGAAATTATGTGGCTTGTAAAGAATTATTTGATACTGAAATAAATGTCTACAGGCTTCTTTGTTTCAAGAGCCTCCCTTTGCTACACAGGAGTCCTCAGTATCTACTACTCACTTGTTTGGGTTTGCAGATTTCTTGTTTGTTTTGTTCTAGGCGGGTTGTTTTTTGTTTGTTTGGGGTTTGGGGTTTTTTAAGTTAAAAAGAAAAAAGCAGAATTAACTTCAAAATCAGAATTACTCCTTCAGGAGAAGTTTTTGCCCAACACTGTAAATACTCGGACTTGAATATGACTGTAATAGGTTCATCCCAGTCTGAAGTCATTCCGTCTCTCTGTCTCTGTTGCGCAGGGCTAATGTCCTGGTAAAGGTTCTAAGTAACCATATCCCCCATTCCCCTCCCAATTGCTTTTAGATTATTAAGAAAAAATGTCTCACTACAGGTTTATGTGACAGCAGAAGTAGAAGGAAGAAGGGAGGAGACACAACAAGCACTTGTGAGGGAGCTGTAGCAGCCCAATGCTCTGTGGCTTTGGCCGCTGTATAAATGCTTGAGATTTAAACCTTATCATCCTCACTTTTCATGGGACTTTCCACTTAGCTTCTGTACTTTTCCTTTCATTCGATCTTTACATCCTTCGTGTGTGTTCTCTCATCTTCAAAACCACCTGTTCTGCTTAGAGATGACGTTTCTTTCATCCTTTTAGTTTGAGAGAAGCAATATTTTTAATCAGGCCCTTTTTCCTCTAAAATATTTTTGGCAATGTGAAATGAATCATCTGGTTGTGTGATGACTTGTTGGGAACTGCCATGGGAACTATTTTCATTGGTAGGATTAATGCATTCATAGGAGTGTGACCTGAAAAGAGTTAATTGTTCTTCTCTCTGATACTTTTTTGCCGTCTGATTTTACCTAAATAAAACTTCTTTAGCACTTGCATATTCATGTTGCATTTGGCACCATACTACACAGTCTGTCTGTAAAACCTCAGTGCCTCAGATTTAGCCAAGTTATTATTATTCAGGTATTTATTATTGCTATGAATATTGTCAAGTGTAAGTTAGCCAAGTGCGTGCTTCACAGCCTTCCTAATACATAAGTGCATTTGATTGTATTTTGATTGTCTACACAAATGTATCTGAATTTGGTATTTGCTGGTATGTTGTGCTGGCTAAATTAGAGGTGTTGGAATTTGTCATACTCCTGTTGTGTCCCTCTCCCAGCAATTTTCCCAGAGCCTGAGGAACCACTTCTTCTAAAGAAGAATGTTTACACAACTTTGCCTTGGTCACTGAGTACATGAAGTTTATATTTTGAATGACCAGAGAACAGACAGCAGCAGTGCTTCTTGCACTCTTGGAAGTGTTAACTCTTCAGTTTGTTTATGGCAGTAGCAAGCATGAGAAGAGCACACAGAATATTTTTAAATTTGCAGGGAATAGTTCAAAGCTTAAGCAGTGCCTGTCTACCATTTGCAATTGGTAGCAGCCAGTGTGGAAGGACTCCTTGTAGGAGGTGACATGATTCTTGTCCTTGACAGACAACTCTGTTTCAGGAACTCTCCTGTTTTCATTAATTCTCTACTCTTTGCCAGCTCTTGTCTTTAGGTCTTTTTCTCTGCTGAGTTTTCAAGACGGCTGCAAAGAAGTCTATGGCTCAGAGAAACAGTGTTGCAGTTCACAGACTATGTGCCTGAAATATTCTTTTCATTCCTGCCTGCTATTCCAAGTTTCCCTGGTTAGCAGGCTGAATTTCCAATGTTAGTTTTAGCACTTAGAGGAAGTAGTTGTTCAAAATGTAAACTCTTAAATACAGTAGTTGTGTGGCTCCATGATTTATGATGTTCCCTTTAGATTCCAGGGGAATGTTGTTAAAAATTTAATGTCTTCTTTGAAAGAGATTAGAAACCATCCCAGGAATATTGGCTCTTTCAGTCTGGGGCATGTTGATGAAGGTCCTAACTTTTTGCACGCAATGTAGTAGCAATTGGAAGTGTTCTGTCTTGGATTTGTTTTTTACCTTACTTCCACTGAAAAACTGTGTATATCAGGCTGATATTGGTAGGACCCACATGGTAGCAGTATGTCTGCTGGTACTGTGCCCATATCTTATGACTCGACAATGCTATGCCTCAGGAGGATATAAACAACTGTGTTTTCAGAAGCTTTCCCTTCATTTTTGCAAAAATGAGGTCAGCAGCACTTCTATAGGCCTGCTTCTGTGAATCTTAAGGTGCCCAACATGAGGATATCAAACATGAACCTTCAGCTGAAAAAAGGCTCGAATTCAGTATAATTTCTTCAATTTGTTCTGTAATTATGTCTTGGGTAATTGATGCTGTAGAGTGTATCCTGCCACAGCGTGGTTGGTAACCTCTGCAATTTTCCACTGTTTAAACAAGCAGGTGCTTGAGGTGAACCTCAAGCAAAACCAAAAGTGGAAAAAATAGATCTCTGGCATAGTCTCACAAGCTTTGATTTTTCCTAGTTATATAGTAAGGTGTTTCCCCCCACCTTGTACACGAAGGGAAGATGAACTCTATGAAGGGCAGTGCAGAAGCACAACTTGATTTAGTTTAATTAAGGAATCATAGAGCCAACTTTTAGAGGAACTAAATTTTGTTCACTGAAAGGGGAAAATCAGGATGGACTAAAATGACTGGACCGAAGTCAGTTATTTTGAATGTCTTCTTTATTAATTCCCCAAGCCCAGGCATTCTTTGGGGATATATTACACCACTAGGGATGTTAGTTTACAAATTGCATTGAACTAGATGCACATAAGGTATATAGTATAGGTTAATGAGACAGCAGCCTGTGTAAAATAACAGAATCATTGAGTTGTTCAGGTTAGAAGAGACCTCGAAGGTCATCATGTCCAGCCATAACCCAGCACCACAAGTCCACCACTAAACCATGTCCCCTGACAAGTGTCACATCTACGCATCTCTTAAATACATCCAGAGCCTTCCATAGATGGTGGCACCACCACTTCCCTCAGCAGCCTTTTCCGATGCTTGACAACCCTTTCGATCAAGAAATTTTTCCTAATGTCCAATCTAAACCTCCCCTGACACACCTTGAGGCCATTTCCTCTTGTCCTGTCACCAGTTGCCTGGGAGAAGAGACTGACCCCTACCTCCTTTCAGGGAATTGTAGAGAGCAATAAGGTCTCCCCTGAGCCTCCCTTTCTCCACACTAAACACCCACAGCTCCCTCAGCTGCTCCTCATAGGACTTGTTCTTTAAATCCTTTATCCAGCTTCATTGCCCTTTGCTCGACATGCTCCAGCACATCAACATCTTTCTTGTAGTGAGGGTCCTCAAGTGGAACACATTGTTTGAGGTGTGGTATGAAAGTATGGCTACAAATCCTTTTGTTGCACCGTCTCACATTCAGAACTATAATCTTCTTGGGAGGCAGTGGAGGGAATGCCAAAAGATGTAAGGACAGGGAGGGGAGAACTTGCCAGTATGTGGTTTGTGAGTGAAAGAGAAAGGAGATCTTAATAGAATAAAAGTGACATGTAAATGCTCTCTTCCAGTTTTCACCTGGCAGCCACGAAAGGGCATGCAGAGTGCCTCAGGATCATGGTGACACATGGTGCAGATGTGACAGCCCAGGATGGTGCAGGTATGCCTCTCTGAACCTATACAAGTAGCTTAATACACTTAAGTTACTTATGTAGTTCTTGATGTACAGAGTGAAACTGCAAATTTGGCAGCATTGCTTTTCCCCACACACTCCATAGGAAACGCAGTTGTAACACTTGCAGGTTTAGGCATACTTGCTTTCCTGCACAGAGAATTCAGATTCTGAGGTCCTAAAAAGTATAAAATCCTTAAAAACTTTTATCCTAATACTATAGATTTCAGCATTTGTAGTGGACTCCAGATGTAAAGAGTTGCTCAATTTTTAAAAAATTGTTGTTTTTAAGTTAAAAAAAAATCATCCTCCCCAACTCTTTTTATTGTTATAGGTTACATCAAGACCTTCAGTGTTGCTTTCATGTTTATCCAAGCTATTAACCCCATTAACTTTACAGGAGTCGCAGTAAGACATTTCCTTGGGATTATGACATAGTGAAAACAGCTGATACAGGCCAAAACAGAGCTGAGAGCTATTAAGTATGCTTTTTCAGTTCTCAAAAGTCCTATGCCTTAATTACTACCCCCCTAGAAGAATGATGGGAGCTGAATTTGAAACTGGCAAACTCTTCCTAATAGGTTTCATTTGACACATTGTGTGAAATCTGTGCCCAGCATTTTCCCTGGCTAGCTGAGCACCTGGATGAGCCATCAGCTTTCTGTCTCTCCAGTGATGACCTGTAAATGTTTGGTTCATGGGTTCTGTTTTGGCCACTGATTGCAGCCTGAGGGAATTTCTGTCATACACGTGATTGATTTGCCTCTATAAGGAAGTGTCTGTGATACTGGAAGAAGCATTCATATTTTACCCAGTGATAACAGAATATATGTACCTGATGCAGACTCTTATTCAGGATTCATACTTCATCTTGCCTCGGGATTTATTAGTTGTTTGGATAGTAAGAGGTTGCCTGCCTACTTTCACCTGAGAGTATCAACCCAGTGTTCATTAGGGAAATCCTTGTCTGTCAAAGTCACCTTATTTGCAATGAGAGTTTACTGTCACAAGTGGCTTTGTCTTTATTGAGTACTAAATCTTGTCTCCTTCTTTTCTTAGTTTCATGGATAATTTGTTCTTTTGATGTCTTGACCTGTTTAATTTTTCAGATGGTCTGTAAGATGAAGCTGGAGGAGAGACTGCAGTCTTTCATCATAAATCTGTAGTCAGTACATCACTGTATTGCATAGCTAAATATGAGCTCATGGGTGCTAAAAAAGTTAACTGCAATGCAAACTGATGTAGACCTGTGTTTGATATGTGCTCACAGCTGCTGTATAAAATAACTGAATAGGGAATCTATGAGACGCAAACTAAAGTAGGCCTATGTTTGAGACTTCTTCTACATGCACTTCATGGATTATACAAATTTATTGTCGTGGTAGCTGGTGAATTTGGCATGTTTTACTCTTGGTGCTGGGTTATTTTTCATTGCCACATGGCAGAAATCATGAAGACACTGACAGACATCTTTGTGCAGTGAGGCTGAGTAATACAGGAAAATTGTTTTCTAAGACACAAGGCATAACAATCTTAGACTTACTTCTGCCAAGATATAGTCTGACACATTGTTTGTGCTACTCCTTTATCTGAAGCAAGACATTAAGATTATTCTGTTACCTGCCTGAACAACAGTCTATTGTAAAGACATTCCACTTGATGTAGGTTTTTATTTTATTTTCTCTACCCTTACTTTTTATTTGTCATGATAGGAACAAGATGGATAATTCGGGATCTTGCCTTTGCCATGGAAGAGTTTATTCCTCTGCTTTGGCATGATTGAATAATTAATTTGCTTTCCTTTTATTCATTTAGGACACAGTGCTTTACATCTTGCAGCAAAGAACAGCCACCCTGATTGCATCAAGAGGTTACTTCAGGTAAAGTAAAAATTAAATTAATTTTGATTTTTGACATTTTCATTTGGGTCCACTAGACATTGACACACTTCCTGCTAATGATCTGCACCACACTGCTATACTGTTGTTCTATCTCCTTGACATCAAGAGAGGCACATCAAGAATTTTAACATAAAGAGTTTAAAGACCCTTCAGGCACTGTGAATGGATGATAGAAAACAGTGTGGTATCTTCCCTGAGTGGTCTGCAGACAGAGTTTTCCATGTGCAGCTGATCTGACATAGCTGGGTTGGGTTTCAAGCAGGTTGCAGCTTCAGTCCAATTCCTGTGTTTTGTCTTTGTGGTTGGATGACTTCGAATTAGGTAGATTTGAGAGTTATAGGGGAAAAGGGTTTTTTGCTTCTGGGGGGATTCTGATATTGTTCCACAGGAATGCTTTCTGTCTGTTCACCATAGAAACGTTTGTCAAGTTCAAGTCAAAGAGAAAAGAAACCAAAGTAGTTTAGATCCTAAAATACGTAAATAATAAAATTCTCCATGAAATGAGGTAAAGAACAGTAAGGGATTAGAAAGGGAGTTGAGAGAATGGGGAAAAAAATAAGAAAAAGAAAATTGAAGATGAATACAGGATTCTCATAGTGTTGAAGCTGAAGATGTGCATTAGTAAGCAAAGACATTGTCCCTCTCAACTCTCATTTCAGAAATACTGGTAAGTTTTCATGGTGGTGATCAGAGGAAAGGAACAGATTTTTTCTAAGTTTGGAGTTATCTGTAAGTCTCAGATGAAATAGTGAATACAGACTAAGACTACAGATGAAATAATTAATAACAACCCAATGGTACAGAAAGAGAATGGATCCCATATCCCAACCTCTAAACTGTTCTTGCCTGATTACCTCAGGGCTCTCCAACTGTCCTGCGACTGGTCCCTGTCAGTGTTTCTGACAACACCGCATCCCATTTCACTGATCCCCACTTCAGTATGTTGCAAGCTGACTTCCCTTACTCGTCCACACCTGGGAAGGGTTGTCATTAGCCACCGAGGCTCATTTCATTGCCGATTTCTACTGCTGCCAACGCCAACCCATTTACAGCATCAACAGCACCATCAGGCCGTCACTGGTGGCATCGCAGGCAGCAATTAATGCGTGTTTGATACTAAGTGTCTGCTGCCCTTTCATGTGCCGGCTACAACCACAGAGTGCTTTTGTTGATATTTTGTTGTTGATATTTTTTCTGGTTTTGTTACAATATGCCGATTTCCAAATACATTCGCAAGTGCAAGCCCATTGGTAATATTTTACAATACTTCGTGCTCTTAGGAATGCCTTCTTACTTCCGGGGACCAAACTGTGCATGTGAAGAATGTTTTACTAGTGTTGAACTAAAATAGGCTAAATAATTATTTTACACAGGCAGAACCTCAACATTTTTGTTACAGAATGCAGTAATCTACATGATCCTGTTTTCCTAGAAAATCATAGACATGTTGGAGGCAGTGCTACATTTAAAAGTAAAAAGTTATAATGTTTGATTTTCAGAAACCCATAATTTGAAGGTCATATTTTCTTCCGTCTAGAGAAAAGCCTTTGAGCTGTTGAAGGGTTTACAGAAGAAGTCCTGTGAGGAGCAGCTAAGGGAGCTGGGGCTGTTTAACCTGGGGGAAAGGAGGCTCAGGGGAGACCCTATCTTGACTGGTCAAGAGGAAATGGCCTCAAGTAGCACCATGGGAGGTTTAGGTTTGATATTAGGAAAAAATCCTTTACTCAGAGGGTAGTGAGGCACTAATGTAACAGGTGTGGATGCCCCATCCCTGAACACCCCTGTTCAAGGCCAGGCTCTGAGCAGCCTGGTTTGGTGGAAGGTATACCTGCCCATGGCAGGGGGTTGGAACTAGATGATCTTTAAGGTGTCTTCCAACCCAAACCATTCTGTGATTCTATGATTCAATAAATAAAAGAAATGAAAGACTAATTGCCTTAGGATGTGGCTGCTTTATCTTTCACTCTAATGTTAAAAAAAAAAAAAAAGATTTCCTGAGAAAAAGGAATTTCTTTCCTTTTTTATTTCCTGATTTAAATTATTCAGAAACTTTAACAATTTTAGGGGATAGGTCTCTCATCATGAGGATTTCCTACATCTTCAGTATAAGCTGGTATCAAGAAAGGAAAGACTAGATTGCTAGAGATGGAAGCTGTACCTGCACTCTGTTAGCATCAAAGATATGTTTTATTTTCTTTGTCTTTCTCTAATTGCCTTTTTTTCCCTTCTCCTTATTGAACTGTGCAGAGTAAATGTCCAGCAGACAGCACTGACAATTCTGGGAAAACAGCTTTGCATTATGCAGGTAACTTCTTTGGTGAAAGCTTGCACTATCTATTTTGTTGTGCTTGATATTCCTAGCTCTACATTTTTTTTGTACCCTGCTCTAATGCTGCAGTGTTGCAAGTGGAAGCACGGAGCACAGTTTTTGAAAATGGGGTGGGTTTGATGGACTTTCATGCTTGTGTTGTTTTTTTTTTTTTTTAATTTTATTTTATTTGGGTTTTTTAGCTGCAAGTGGATGTCTTCAGGCAGTTCAGCTCCTGACTGAACACAAATGTCCCATTAATGTCAAAGATGTGGTACGTACCTCTTCTGTTGTGTACTTCAGATGCCTCAGAGGTTTTGCCACCCTCAACCCCGTGCACTTACCACCCTCCATCTCAGTGCAGCAGTTCAAAGCAATATTGTGCTTATATTTCTTCCTGGACTTCTCTGCTGGAGGAAGTTCCCTTTGCAGCTTGCTGTAGCAGAGGTGTGAAAGCACTTCACAATCTGATACTGTAGTAGCAGGATTTGCTGATTATTAAATTGAGACATTGGCAGAAGTAGCTAGAAAAAATTCTTATATGTTCAAAACGTAATTTAAAAGTATTCCCTTGACTCCAGTAGGCTTGGAAAAAGGTCCAATGTGTGGACAAGTGCTGCAAAATTCTCACAAAGCCCAACCACAGTATGATAAGCCTGAGGGGGAAAAATATATTTGATGTAGTCTAAAGGCTCAGGGACACTACATTCACTATTATGAAGTGTCTACAACCAACTAGGTCTGGTTTTGGGGGTGATGCAGCTGCCTTATAGAAAACCCTCAAATGATAGAAGGAGATGACCTAACAGAAGTAAAGCACAGGCCAGGTGGGAAAGCATAAAAATACTTGTTTGTTTATTTTTGACTTTGATCCACCCCCTTCTTATCTGATCTTTCTAATGAAAATAAATATGTCACAGATGTCAGACCTAATATTTCAGCAAATGCATTTTAAAGGCAGAAAAGATTTGTTCCGTCTTAAGAAGGGAAGGCTGTAGGAGTATCTTAAAAATGTCTTAGGCTACATCATGGTTGGTCATAGGAAAGAGGAAGTCAGACCAACCTCAGAGATGCATGACAAAATGATGATAAAAAGTGGTCAGAGTTTGGGTAGTGAACCTAACTTGGAAATCCCAGTTAGCTATTAAGGAGAAAATAATCTCACCTTGAAGGTGGTCAAACGCTGGAACCGGTACCCAGAGATGTAATGTCGTCTCTACCTTTGGAGATGCTTAAAACTTGACTGGACAAGTCTCTGAGCAATGTACTGTAACTTGAAGTTTGCCTAGCTTTGTGTTGAAAAAGAAGTGAGAGACACCCCAAATGACATCTAAGGGTGTCTTCCAAACATATTAGTCTGTGGTTTTATGAAACATTGTATTTTTGCCTTGTACTTAGTTAAAAGTATCATTTTTGCTGTGGAGCTACTGAAAGATACTGAGCAGTTTCAAAATCACTATCTTTTAGCATTGAGCAAACAGCAAAGGGAGTATAAAAGGAAAAAGCATCCCTACTCCTTATGTTTTGCACCATCCCTAGTAGTCAACAAGGAATTAAAGTAAACTCAGCTACATTTATGGTATATAAGAAAAATGAACTGAGAGCACCTCATTTATGCTATGTAGAGATAAAATTCATAGCTGTGTTCAAATCTCAGTCTTATTTGTAAGTGAATATTGTTCACAGTTTCTTTAAATGCATTTCTAGGATGGGAACATACCTCTGCTGCTTGCAGTACAGAATGGACATACAGAAGTCTGCAAATACCTTCTGGATCATGGAGCAGACATCAACACCAGGGATAAAAATGGAAGGTACATCAGGTTAACATGTTAATTCTTGCCCAAGGCTGACTGTCAAATGAAGCTTTCTCATCAAATTCTTCCCAAAATAGTTGATGTTAGGTGAAATAATGCTTTCTGTACTGGACATCCTCATTGTTGAGAAGGCTTGCAAAATTCTGCCTAAAGGGAAAGATGAAACAGAAACTATGCAACTATAAAACTAATGTGCCTGTAAGATTTCCCTTGGGCTACCAGAGTAGTATATCCCATTTTTAAATGATTCCTACACAAAACTGATTGATAGCACTTACCCACACATCACTTTCTAAGTGTCCCAATTTTAAGTGCTGCTTTCTTCTAAGGATGAGTTAGTAGCTGTTACTTGGAAGCAAAATCTTTGGAGGGTTCTTTCTTCTACCATAATGTGGCCACAACAGCAAGAGAAAAGTACAGTAAAGCTTTATAGTGGAGATGCTGTTTTAGGAGGTGCCAATTAGAGATTTTTTGCATTAATAGATAGTGCATGTGTCAGAAAACTGTTCTTAAAAAGCAACATCCTTGTAGTGAAAAATGCTCTTGTTTTAATGATACTGACAAAGATCAAGACTCTTTGAAAATTATGGACTGTTTATAAACAGTTCAATAAATTGCGAAGGTAAGGAAGGATACTGAGAAGACTTGGCACTCACACTTCATAGCAATGTTGATTATTATATGTGATACAATGCTGATATTGTTCTCTGGCAGCACCTGTGAGGATAAGACTGGGCCCTAACTTGTTTTTTATCAGTCCAAAGTTCATTAGTGCACTCCTTTTTTCAGTTGTCTAAAGAAAACTGCCTGCTTCTCTTTGTTAGTTTGCATGGCCTCCTCAGTGCTTTGAACCTGAGGTGCTGCACACTCTGGGACCTCCACCTTCTCCTCACTTTCTTACTATATAATCAGCAGACAGCGTTAAGACTTTCTTCATTAATTGGATGAAGGAGTTTCTGTCATAGATAGGACTCACATTTTTGTATTTTCTTTTTTAAGAAAATGCTGTGTGTAAAAGCAAGAGAATGATATAATATGAAATATACTGTTTACTTCTTGCTTTCATTGTGGTGAGGGGAGTGACTACTCCTGCATCTCATGTTCACTAAAGTGGTTAAGATTTTACTGAAACAGGAGAAGCCTTACTGGGAGAAGAAGGGGATAACCTTTGAAAATGGCATCTCCAGATTTCTATCTTGTCCAGACTCAGTGAATTATTTTGTAATCTAAAACCTTCCCTGTGACTCTGGAGGTGTTACTGAAATTGCCACTCAGCACTACCTTTTAACATAGCACTGCAGCAGCCATCACCTCTCCAGGGCTCACTCATTACAGGGAGTATGTTCAATTCATCAGTGAAATTTTTGTCTTAATATTTAGCAAAAATTATCACTGTAGTAACTTTTCAACTTCAAATCTGCACCGAGGAATGTGTTTGGCAGTAAACTTGGCCAACCTATTAGGCACATTTTCATGTTGAGAAAGGAGAATTATGCCCAAGCAGGAGGGCAGTATTAGAGCTTGCTTGAAAAGTAAAGGGGGTTTGTGTGTTTTTAATTATTCTGTACATTTCTTATGACCTCTTCAAGTAAATGAGAAAAGCAGACACAAAATGTTAGGAAAAGACTCCTTCTGCATGCTACCTTTACTCTAGGATCTGGCATTGTGTAGCTACCCTGTGTTGGAAAGGGAACGGTTTGTGCTCTAATGGACTTCTTTCTTCTTTTCTTTTTTCCTTTTTTTTAAGCTGACAGTAGTACAGGTTTTCAGGTCAAACCCGTCTCTTGGACTCACTGAAGGTCCTTGAGGTTTTTTTGTCTTTTTGTTGAAATCTGTTTGTCTCTTTTGTTTAAAAAGCAGCATGTGAAGGACAGCAGCAGTGAAATAAAGGCTCTCCTGTTGTACCACCGCTGTAATTGTAGTGTACCAGTGAGGTTTGTTAGTCTGACTTTATCCTGCAGCCATTTCTATCTATGACTCCCCTCTTGATCTCAGGAAGCCATTTTTAGAAATGACCTGTCTTTGCAGCTGGAGAGTATGTATGAGGAAGAGGAGGAGGGACTTTATTGCATGATAACCACCACACTTCTTTTCCTGAAAAGATGAGCTGCTTAAAGAGTATGTTCTTGACACTTGTTCTCTGTGTTTTGGTTTTGTGTTTTATTTTGTTTTTTCAGAACTGCTTTGATGATGGCTTGTGAAGCTGGTAACCTTAACATGGTGGACGCTTTCCTTAGGAGAGGTGCAGATGTCAGTTTAGTAGATGTTTTTGGACAGAACGCCCTGCATTACGCCAAGCTCTCTGAGAACACAGGGATCCAGAACCTCCTATCATCAAAGTTATCTCAGGATGTGGGTATGTAAGAGAGGCTGATGTGCAGTTTGTCCCTTCTTGAATGGGCTATGCAGATGTTTAGCACTCAACAAATTTACTTCAAACTGTAATCTGAAATGTTGCAAAAGCCATTTTCAATATCGTCTGTCTGAGACTTTCCAAAAACTCTTTGCCATAGATGGTAATATTTAGCATGGGATAAAGCCCTGAGGGCAAAAAGAGGTGTTTTGGAGAAAGAAAAGGTAAGTTGATGTAGCAACATTGTGAAGTTTTGAATACATTGAATACAGTTTGGAATAGATTTTCTTTTATTAGGTGGGAGAGTCAGTGGAGCGTACAACCTCTCAGCAGAGGGCTTGAAGAAGGAACTAAAGCAGGCAGAAGATTTTATGGTCAAACTAAGATGGATTTCTGAAGTAGGAAGCTTAATGTGGAAGAATGGTGTGAGACTATAATAGAATAAGAATTGTCATGATTCTTCAGATTCTATCTCGGTATGAAACCCAAACAGTAGCAAAGAAAGGGTGTGATTCAAATGGCATTTGGAAATTATGTTTTTCAGCTTTCAGACAGGAATTCAAAAATCAAGCTGTTTATCTGTGGTATGGGAAGTAGAGCTGAGAGGTGAGCTAAGAATGGCAAATAACTTTTCCTTTGTTAACTGTTATTTATTCCACCTCTTTTCTGCTTCACAGATACAAAGTCACCGACAAAAGCGAAGCAGGTATTTGTCCTTTTGCTTTTGAAAATACTCAGACTATCTAGGCGTGTACCATAAGAACTAGTAACTGACAGGACTGGAAGCAGTACTGAATGTCACTGTGAGATGTGTTGCCATGACTACTGTGTAAAAGGTTTTTGTTGCTTAGTTAAAAAATGTGTTTCAGAAACATTGCCTTTAGACTTCGCTTCTGTCCGTATAAGCAGCCAGCACCCTTAGTGAGACAAGGAAGGGAGTGCGAGTGTGTACATGCATGTGTGCTTTTCTCATAAGGCAGGAGCTTGGCTTTTGGACTCCCTATCTCTTCAAACTGTAGAGGAGGTGGTCTAGAAAAATACCCTGTTTCTAAAACTTGTAATTGAAGGTTATCTCTGGTTACTGGAGACCCCGTCCTGTGAGAATCCCAGCAGATTTAGGCAGTTATATTGGTTTCTTAAATTTTGTGTTTAATATCATATCTTGGAGTGCACCTAAGCCTTGTAGACCTGCTGGTGGCTGGAAAGTAGATGAGGGTGCAGTGCATTGGTTCATTCCTTCTCTGAGTGGAGAGGTAGGTTTTTCAGCTCAGGCAGAAGCCAGTGGAAAGATGGTAGCCATGAAGAAGGGCATGACTGAGCTATGTATGAATGGAATTATTTAAGGTCACTGGTGCTAAACCTGTTGTCAGCTTCTGCTTTTTCACTAAATCTTGTTTGTTTTCACTGAAGCATGGGTTACAAGGGAGCAGATTCTTATTGTCAGGCATGTTTCATATCTTTATGTTAGTAGAGATATGGTCTTTACATAGGGAAAAAAAGGCACTGCATGAGCTGCTAAAGTTGATATTAATGTGGGATTTTATTTTATTTTTTTTTATAAAACAACTTGCTTGGACTTTACTAACCAAACTAACAAACCTACCTTTTCTGGCTGGTGAAACTTTCAGCATGATCAAGGCTCTAAATTAAGTTCAGAAAGAAGTGGAACTCCAAAAAAACGCAAAGCCCCACCTCCTCCTATCAGTCCTATTCAGGTAAAGAAAAGACCAATTTTGAGATGCTTTTAGGGGGTATAAGGCATTTTGAATATTATGTGAATTATGTGGGCTGGATTTGCTCTGTCACTGTTATTTTATATGCCTGTCTTACCATGAGTGCTTTTCCTTACGTTAGGATGACACCGTGAAAGCACATGTTGGTTAGGTTAACTAAGAAAAATTGAAGATTTTTTTTTTTCTTAAATACATGTCAATATATTGCTATTATTTGTCACAGGGGCTGCAGTCTTTCAAACTATCTACAAGATAGTTGCCCTTATTTCCTTAGTATTTAATGAGAATTGTGCAATGGAACTTGAATGGCTTTAACAGACCTTAAAGATGCTACAACTAAACGAGACCTCAGAAATAAAAGAAATCCACTTTGACAGGCTTTATCCAGAAGGATCTATACTGTCTGTAGTTCTTTTTGGTGAGCTGTCCAACTTTACAACTGCATTCTGTGAAAACATTTTCTTCTGATGTCTTGGCAGGAAGAATTCAGCTCCTTGCATAGAGATAATAAAGACAGACTGAGTGACAGCACAACAGGTATACAATTAATCCTTACTTTCATCTTTGGTTAGGCATTTTAGGTGGCGTGAAATGTTGAAAACTGGTCAGAAATCCTCTGTGCCTTTCTGCTTAGAACATGAGACACACTGAGTATTGAGAGTAATGTTTTGTAATTCCACTAGCAGCTTCCCTCCAAAACCTCCTGCTTCTACTGAGTGAACTTAACACTTTTTTGGGGAGTTAATAGGAACAGTTTGTTTGCTCACTGCATTTAGTGGTCATGGGAACAAACTGTTTAACTTTAAATGTTAAAATAACTGACTAGCTAGCATTTCAGCTTTTTGAAAGCTTTTGAATCTTTCTTTTTTTCTCTGAAGGTGGTGATAGCTTATTGGGTGTGAGTTCTGAAGCTGACCAACAAGACCTACTGCTGTTGATGCAAGCAAAAATTGCTTCTTTGACATTGCACAATAAGGAGCTGCAGGACAAATTACAGGTGGCATATTTTTGTGCTATTCTGGTGCTATCTTAATGTGCTAGCAGAACAAAGAGCTTCTTACTGTTTTAAAGAGTTGTACTCTGAAGATAATTTAATGAACTTGTTGTAAGATCATGGAAACACTCTGCCCCAAAGGATTAAATCAGTGTTTTATCTTCTCACTTTTTCCATAAATTACTGAATAACTTTGTTTGTTATGATAACCACATTAGAAAAGATGTTAGCAGTTGGGTTAGCAGAATTTTAATTTGCATAGCTTATGGAGATCAGCCCAGACTTTCAGACGACCTTGGCACTTACTGTCCTCTCTCACTGCAGATGACTAAATGGTAGCAGCTGGGCTTTGAATTTTTCTAAAACTTTCTTCCATGGTTCTTTAATCATCTGTCTCTGTAGGATGTAGCAGTATTTTCTTGCTTACTCTATTGTAAAAAAAATATAATCTTGTCCATGTATTTATTGTGCAATTGTTCGTGTTTCTTTTTGGACAGGAAAGAACACCTAAAGAAGGGGATTCAGCTGTAGAATCTTATTCAACCCAAACAGAGTTTGAGCAAACAGTAGATAGACAAAATGAGTTCTTGGCTCAGGAGCTGAAGCCTACATTAAATGCCACTCAGACCCAAGAAAAATTGACAAGCCCCAGAGAAGTAAAAATGAAGTACCTCCAGGAAGACCTAAAGGATGTGCAGAGGAAATTAGAGAATTCTGAAGCCAAAAGAAGGCACCTGGAATCTCAGGCCCAGTCTAGAATTCCAGAAACAGATCGTTTAAATAGCCCAGACATTTCAGAAAATGGTTCTGATCTTAACCTGAAGTTCCAAGAAACTCAGAACAGGTATGAGGAAGCTGGGAAAGACACCTTGAATGCGCAAAGGCAAAAGAAGCTGAGTGTTGTTTCCTCTGAAAGTGAAGAAACCAGTTCTGATCTGAGTATGTTGAAAGTTACATATGCAGAAGTTGAAACACTTAAGCAAGAATTGAAGAAAGCATTGGAGGAAAGCGAAAGACAAAAAGAAAAAGTGAGAGAACTACAGAAAAAGTTTGAAGACAGAGAGCAGAATGTGGCAAGCAAATTGTCTGTGGAAGAGTGTGAGGAAATGAAGAATTCATATTGTTCAGTTATTGATAACATTAATCAAGAGAAAGCATTGCTGATTGAGAGGTACAAAGAAGGGCAAGAGGAAATTAAAAGGCTACAGGACAAGCTGACAAATCAGACACAGCTGGAATCTAGTCCTGAAGCTGGAGAAATGAAAGACGTGATGCACAGAATGGTAGATGACCTCAACAGACAACTCAGTGAATTGTCTCAGTTGTACAAAGAAGCACAAACAGAGCTTGAAGACTTTAGGAAGAAAAAAACTCTAGATGATATAGCTTTGGACTACATTCCTAGAGAAGAACATGAGAAACTGATGGAGGTAACAAATTCTTTGAAATACAAAGCAGAAAATGAGTTGTCAGAAATGAAATCCCAGTACACAAAAGTCTTAGATGAAGCAGAAGAACTAAAGCAACTGTTAGACACTCAGAAACAAAACTCTGTGCCAATTACTGAACACCGTCAGGTGATTAGTGCACTCAGAAATACTATAAAGGAAATGGAGGAAGAAATAAATGAGCTCAAAAAACAGCTTAACAACAAGGAAGGTGAATTAAGAAACTTAGAGAAGGAGTTACTGGAAGAAAAAGCTGCAATTAATGAAGCTATGGTACCCAAGGCTACATATGAAAAGCTCCAGTCATCACTAGAGGGTGAAGTTAGTGTTTTGTCATCCAAACTGAAGGATGTAATGCGAGAGAAGGAAAATGTATCCTTAGATGCTCTGAAACTGAGAAATGAAATTTTGCACTTGAAAGAAGCAAAAGAAGGTATGCATACTCTGCTTGAAGCAAAGGAACGGGAGGTGACTGATCTCCAGCAAAAGTACCACCAAGTTCAAGAAGCCCTTCTTGAAATGAAAAACTCATCAAAACTAGAAGAAGATAAGGATAAAAAGGTCAGTGACTCACTACAGTGCAGGGGTAGTATGAGTTCAGACTGCAAAACACGTTGGGTGGTGCACAAGTGATCTCATAGATGATGTTGGTTCAAGTGTAACTTCTGAGTGTGTTTGCCCATCCAAAAATTCAGGGCTTAAAGTCAAAAGGAGTTTTCAGTATCTTTAACTTTGCAGTTGATTTCCCTCTCCTGTGGAGATACACACGATCTTTCAATTTACCTCTTTAAAATTCTGCTTAGGTTGGCTTCACACTATTTAGCCAACTGAGGTCAAAAAAGTGGGATTTACAGCAGGAAGAGATTCCAGAGGAGACAAGATCAGGAAGGAGCAAAAATTCACTGTTGTGATATTACTGTATCATCTCAACCATAGCATGATTTGACTAATTTTCCTCTGCAGCAACCATTTCTGTCACTACAAATTTCTTTATAAAAAGCTATGCCTTTTGCTAGCTGCAAATAGGTGGCCTCTGTTATATTTGTGTCTTGCATTCAGCAGCAGAATTTGTAAAGGTGGTAAATGGAGTCCTTTTTTGTAAATATTGCTGGTTTTCAGAACAAGGAGTCCATTTTGAATAGACTGGACTACGATGGGAGATAGAGAAGCATTGTAACCCTTTGTTTACATTTCTCTATTTGTCCATTGAGTTATTTACAAATTGTTTTTCTCCATTCTTAAATTTAAGTCACAAATAACTCATAGATGAGACTCACAGGAACACAGTATGCCTTGCATCTTCTGATGAAAACCTGGTTTTTGCCTCCCTAGATCAATGAAATGTCCAAGGAAATTAGCAAATTAAAAGAAGCACTGAACAGCCTCTCTCAGCTTTCCTACTCAACCAGTGCCCCCAAAAGACAAAGCCAGCAGCTGGAGGTGTTACAACAACAAGTGAAGCAGTTGCAAAACCAACTGACTGTAAGTGTGATAGTTTGTAAACCTGACATTAGTCCCAGCTCTCCAAAGACACAGGTGCTATTCTTCGCTCTGCTTATTTAAAATGCAATACAGTCAATGAGTACACGGGAGGGAATTTTCATCCAGAAATTCGGTAATTTCTCTGTTTCACTGAAACATCTAGGAATCTGCAAGTCACAAATAGCTCTTTAGAAAAAGCCTAACTAAAGAAAGCTGTTTTCCCACATATTTTTCTCGGGCCAATACAGAAACAAAATTCTTGTAGTGGAATCTAATGACCAAACCTGCTGCCGAGACCCTGTTTTGTGGAAAAGTATGACCAATGTGCGGGGGATTTGTGCGTTTTTCCAAGAACATTCATCAGCTGAAGTAGTTTTGTTTTATTAAGCTTTCTGGAAAACATACTCACTGAAAGCATGAGGTTTCAAATCAAGCAAGTCTTTCTTTTTATGGAGAGCACAGTTAATTCTCTGAAATTCGGAACTGCTTACAGAGGGGTTTTTTAAATTATATTTGTTTGTGCATGAAAGGTCCAATCCTCTAAGCTAGGTTGAGTCTTAACTGATATTTCCAAGAGCTTGCCTGCCCAAAGGAGCACTTTAATTCACTTTTGAGGATGAAAAGAAAGTAATGCCCACCAGAGGCCCTTGTCAAGAGCTGCGGAGTGACTCTGGAAGGAGAATTCCCAGACTGACATGCTAAATGGCTTAACTGGTGTCTCCTTCCTACCTTCCTCAACAGAAAGAAAGAAGAGTTAGAAAAATACTCTTGCAGCAGGGAGAAATAGTAGGCAGACAGTTACACACTGCATCCTGTTCAGACTCAGACTGTTTCTTATTCCAGTCCTCCATGTCTGAAAGGATCCTTCATTTCCCACTGCTTAAGGACCAGCAAAGTAGTGTGAGGTGCAAAGGTACGCAGCACATTAGGAAAGTGGGTAGTATTTAAAACAGGACAGAATCACCCTTTCCCTCTTGTAGGTTAACTTTCCTAGCAGCTTCATGTTTGCTTGGAAAGATGGCTTCTGGGTTGTGGCAGTCTGTGATCATTAAAAAGGAGCCTGACTTTCATTGACTGAGGGGTTTGTGGGTTAAGACCTTAGTAAGCACCTCTGACAGACGGTACATTGCAGCTCAGCACTTCTTACAACTGATGTTACCTCACCAGTTTTTTTATTGGGAGGGGTAGAATTACAGCATTTTCATGGACATGCTTCCGAGCAAATTTGGAGTGCTTAGTGGCACAGCAGTGTCGGAGCCGGTTCTCAGTGCATTGCATAAGACCGGTTTGTAATTTCCTCTGTGTAAATCTAGTTGAGGAGTCCTGAATTCAATACTTCTGAATGCTCTGTGCCTTTCTGCTTAACTGTTTTCTAGGAAACAAAAAAACAACATCAGGAAATTGTCTCGGTTTACAGGATGCATCTTCTCTATGCTGTGCAGGTATGGTTGCATGTTGTCAGTCACACAGTCTTGGTATTTTAATTAAAGATGCTTCTTTTGCAGATCTAGTAAGAACTTTGCATGTTTTATCTAAGACATCCCTCCCAAAAGGTATGACAGTTCAAGCACAAACTAAGCTCCATTTGGGAAATTGATCTAATTACTATACCTCAAAAATAGTTTGTCAATATTCTTAAAGAGTAGAGAGCTGCATGAATTCAATCATCTTTTCTTCTTTCTCCCCTTGTCTAGGGTCAAATGGATGAAGATGTCCAGAAAGTGCTTAAACAAATTTTATCAATGTGTAAAAGCCAATCACAGAAAAAGTAAACAAAGAAAAAGCCAAGGAAAACTCCCTATTTTATTAATCCTGTTATGGTTGTTTATCTAGATTTGCCTTAACATAAGATTTAAAATTGGCAATTTGCTGCTTTTGTGTTATTGTGCTGTTTGTGAGGGGGATATAATTGTCCGTCTGTACCACTTCCCTGTGCATTTCCATGTGCAGTAACTAAACACATGCCTGCTTTTCATATCCAAAATGCAAGTATGTTCTTCAGACTTTTTACTTAGGCCACTCCATATTGTGTTTACCCTGTAAGTACTTTCCAGCTTCCTCCAATAAAAGCAGGTTAACCTGGAGGAAAGCACTCGTGTTGCCTGGGTAAAGGTGAAATTTTCTGTGAGGTCTTCTGTACTGATTATAAGCTGCATCTTGTTACTGGGGATGTTTGATGCTGTAGTGCTCAGATTCCTGACATTTTGCCATATGCAGTCTTCGGCAGAGCAGAAGCAAGCCTTGCAGCAGTGAGCAGGACTAGATATTTATGCTAAGCCAGAACGTCAAACAGCTACACTTCTTAATGTAATATTATGTAAGATTAACAAACTATGAGGTAGCTGTCCCAATCCACCCAATGCACTGAGTACATACCATACTTCACAGTTTCTGTAACTACCTGGTAGTGCAATGAAACTATTTCAAAGCATTAGTTTATTGAAGTTCTGTACAAACAGAACTGTCTGTATAAACAACCCTTTATGATAGGTTTAGCTGTCTATGCAAGTGTTGGCCATGAAGCTCAGGAACAAAACCAGAACATGTACTTTAGACAAGGGATTCTAGTGAACACAGGATGTTTACAGTGAATGTCAATGCCTCATACTTCCTAACCTCACTTTTGTAAAGATCTTCTCTTCAGTATATTTTTATTGGCCCTCTAATGAATTTTTTTGTAACTAAACCATTTTTTCTACATAATATTTGCATTAAGCTTATTAACAAATATTTTTAGGTAATTGTGTTTTAGAGAGTTTATACCCCCAAGTATTCAGTAATAGTGAAGCATAGTGAAGTGTTTTCAGTTTGTAAGGGATTTGTACGGAATAATAGGCCTGTCTGTCAGTGTGGTCCACAGCAATGAAGTCTAAAATGCAATTCAGACTGCTGTTTCAAAAAAATTTAGAAACTTGTGCTGGTTTAAAAGTTAACCAGCAAGGGAAAATGAACTCAATTCAAAAGAGAGATTTATAAGTCAGAATAACAATTTATTAAAATAATGCAATAAGTACAATTATACAGACAGACAATTGGTTTTAACCCACAAAACCCAAATGTATAAACCAGCACCCTAGGGTATGAACAAGAGTGGTGTACCTTGGCCCACCCCCGAGTCCAAAGCAAAGGGAGAGGGAATAAACCTGCTGGTGGGAGAGCTGCTGCAGTCTGGTCAGAAGTGGTGATTGCAGTCCAGTCGAGGGTGGTGGTCTCAGTCTAGTTGAAGGCAGTGGTCTGGAGTCTTCCTCTGGATCCCACGAGAGAGCCTCAAGGCTCTGAAACCCCAGTTATATACTCTCCAGTTCAGGCGGGAGTGCTCAGTCCCTCCCTCAGAGTAGGGAATTCCATAAAAGGGCATGCAGATGCTCAGTCCCTCTTCCATATAAGGGTATCAGAGCGGGGAATTCCATATAAGGATATCAGAGCAGGGAATTCCATAAAAGGGTACAGGAACATCTTCCCACCTTGCAGGCCTCTACTGACAGCAGTTTTTGGGAAATGGCATGGAGGCTATAGAATACACAGTTTTGGGTTACACCCATCCAGGGATGAATTGGTCCCAGCCGTTCTAACCAGGACAAAACTATAGATAGAGAACAGCAGAAGGTGTCAAAAATTCTATATGTTGTTTCTAGAGGCTAGAAGCATCAGTAAAGCCTTTATCAGCACTTCTAAATTTAAAATCAAATAAAAATGTCTGATGTGGGATAGAATGAAACTATGGAAATATGTTTCTAAGCACACACCGCACTTGAGGGTACAACCATTTTAACTAGCTTGCAGCTTCAATATGGTATTTTTTTTTTATTCTATGGGGATATGTCTCTATTAATGGAGAAACCTTTCAGAGCTATATAATCTATGAAGTTTATAGAGAGTCATAATATGACAAGAGTCGGCAGTGCCTCAGGCTGACTGGACTCATAGTGCACTTATATCAGATAATTCCTAACTCTGGCAAGACTAGATGGATTTTAAAAGCAAGAAGAAAAATGACACCTTTGCATCAGTTAGACCTTGGTGTTACTTTTCTTGAGCGGTTTAACTAATGCCAGCTAATTTTGAACAGTATTTTGTAGTTAGACAGCTTTGAAAACGCTCCAAAGAAATGTGAAAAGAATTTTGCTGCATCACTTCAAAAAGAACAAGATTTTAAGCATGCTAATGCTGAAAGTATAAAACTTGATGAACCATATTGTAGGTTGCCTGATGGATTTAGTCTTCTACTTCGGTTTGGTTTGTATATTTATTACAATTATCTTTGTGGAATATTGGAAATTATATACTGCAGCATAACAAGTTTCTTTATATGTAATTTACAAGACATTTCCTTATGCACCAAATAAACTATTTCCAATTTTTTTTCACTTGTGTCTTCATTTACTTTTTGTATTGAGGGAAATCTCACTACACTGTTCTGACGTAGTACAAATGTGTTCTATATCTCATGTTTAGATACATGTCAGATGAACGGGGCCTTCCTCCCTGAAATTGCAACTTCATTATTAACTATCTTGATCTGTTAGGTAGAATAGAACCCAGTCAAAACCCCACATAATCAGTTCTGTAGGTGATGCCTTCTAACTGATGGGTAAGTTCAGAGCCATTTCTCATGTGGACATCCCATTAGAGGTAATACAGCTTTCCCATTTGCCACTGCATGCATTCCAGCTAAGTTTAAAACTACCTTAGAGCAGTAGCACAGATTAGTGATGTCCCACAGTTTTTCAAAACTGTGGTTCTCTATCACTTAGCACTTCAGACACAGAACTATAGTGAAAGTATTTATATATATGTGTGTATATGCATATGGATATATGGATATGTATACTTTTTAAACTCAGTTATACAGCCCCATTCCCTTTTATCATCTCCTTGGTTTGTTGGAGAAACTGGCTTTTCAGTAACTTATTTGCTAAAATATCTTCCTGTCTGAGGGTGGAACACACAAACAGCAGGAATTACAACTTTTGTGATTACGTCCTGGAGTTCAAGTAGCTTTTTAGCCTCTTGAGGCAGATTTCTTTAAGCTACTCAGCACTGAGGTTTTTTTGAAGAAGGACAAACTGGCATGCAAAACATGGGCTTGTGGGGTACATCGTGTCTGCCTATGCTGGTACTCTGAAACTTCCACGCTTATTTTTGGCCTCCTGTATGGTCAGTCATGACAGTACAGGTCTTCTCCTGGGCAGCATTTTTATAGCCAGTTCCTGCCCTCCTCCCCCCTAAATGAATAGGCACTGGGGATGAACATTGCCCTTGTCAAACACACAATGCAGTTTGCACACAACAGTGATAATTTGGTCAGTCACCTTGAGCATACTGGCTCTTCTCACCCATCCTATACCCTGTCGCAGTAGGCAATAGTGACAAATGATGATAGCAGGCTTCAGATGAAATTTGGGAGGAAACATCATCTTAGATCAGCGTTAAGATCACCTTTTTTTTTTTAAAATTTTTTTTTCCCCCCTTTCTTGCTGGATAAACTAAGGGGAAGTTCCTGTACACATATGTTGCCCTGGTTATTTGGCACCTGGCTGTCGCAGGCCCCCTCCTTTGCCAACCCAGATGGACATGGGAAGATGATGGAGGAGATTTCAGCAGCCATCAAACAAGAACCTCTTGCAGTGTGCCCTGTCTCCTTGATGGGCAGATCTTTTGGCTTCAGCAGCACATAGTGGCACAGAGCCAACACCTGAGCACAAGGGTGCTCAAACTCTTAGATGAGTTTGGCTCCCTGCACATGCTGCACACCAGATGCCCTGCTGGAGCCCCATGGGTAGAGGCACAGGTATGAAGATAATATTCCCCCATGCTGGCTGAGCAGGGGGCTCAGTGATGGCAGAATGGCCTGCTGGTTTCCTTCCTACCTCTCCTCAAGTCAACTAAATGGTGATGTGCTATGTGTCAGCACAGGACAGCAGGAGCCAAGGGAAGACCATGCTGCTGTGTGCTGCAGCAAACCACACAGTGGCCCAGGAGAAGCAGCCAGGAAAAAGGGCTGGTGGAGAAGCTGGCAAGAAATCCCTTGGCAGATGCCGCAGCACTACATGGAACTGTTAAAGCCCACTTCATGTTTCATGAGTTTCCCTAAGAGTGGCTGGCTGGGGGAAGGAGGTGGTATGTGATTTCACTGCTGAGTGTTTAAGCGCTATATAAATTACTGCTGCTGCACGTCTGTTGTGTTTAGACCATAAATCTGTTCCCTGAGGGGCTTTTGCAGTGTGGAGTACCAACCTAGAGAGTGCAGGAGGGAGGAGGGTAAGCAAAGAGGCTGGAGTATCATGTGGGACATGGCAGGAAAGCTGTTTTGAGGCGCTGGAACAGGGTTGTTCAGGTGCTTTTTGCCTGCCTGACCTGTCCCCAGGGAGGCTCTTGCTTGGGCCAGCCCCACTAGAGCATCCTGTGGCTTTCTTCATACTGGTGCCAGCCTTCATCTGAGCAAGAGGCAGGCACGAAAGGCTGAGGCAAGTCTGCCCTTAATCATGGCAGAGACCCATATGCTGCAGGGAAGAATCACTGACTCAAGCAGTGTGGTCAGGCCTCCCAGCGCAGGGCAAATCCTGGAGGAGGAGCAGCCTCCCGTAGCTTTGGCCGTGTATGAGGTCAGGGCCTCAGACTGCTGCTGTGGGACATCTCGGAATCCAGGCCACAGAGCAGCTTTGCATGTTGAATAAATGCATGGAAAAGCTCTGGAGTAGTTCAGTGTGGAGATTTCAGGGTAGCATAGTCAGATGCGATACACATGTTCTGCAGGCACAAGCATAACACAGCAAATTTTTTCAAAGAAATAGGAATGGGTGCAAGACTTTTAGGTCACTGTGGTTTTTGTCTGCCACAGAATTTAATGTCAAGCTACAGTTCAAGAGTTTGAGTACCTTAAAACCTTTATCTTTAGCACTGCTGTCTGGTTCTGCAGACATGGGTCACTGGGGGTGCTCTTGGGTGCTCACCAATTCTCAGCAAAGCATTTCGTAGAAGTTAAGTTTCAAATGCTTTTCTTCACCTCTGCCTCCTCCTCTGTTTGGATCCTTCATGA